AATATATTCTATATTCACCCGCGAACATAATATGAATCGTCATGTAATATATAGAGGATATCTCATGGGCGCGCGGAGATACGGATTTTATCTTCGAGTGTTGAAAACCGGCATGCAATGTGCTCTCATATATATATATATAAACACCCCCTCCCTTCCCCCCTCCATACCCGGTAGGTTTATATTATTTGTATCTGTGGTAATTTCAGCTGATATAAAACAATTCTTAGGTGGATCGGAGTTTTGAAGGTTGCTTGCATGGGCAGTAGCTTTCATACCCTTCCTTTATTCGTATTAATTATTTATTCGTATTAATTATTTATTCGTATTAATTATTTATTCCTATTAATTATTTATTCGTATTAGATTTAGTAAATCCCTACATTGGTGTTGTTTATCTGGCTTGGGTTTGTCTGATATAATTTCTGGTTTGGCTAGCTGAGTTCTTTGTATTAGCTACTGCTTTCTTAGGTTTTGTTTAGCCCTCGTGCATTTTAGTGCGCGTGATTTTTGGCTACGCGCGCTGTAGAGCGGGCGCGTATTGTTATTTTCCGTTAGTCGAGTTGGTTTTTGTAGCAATGGCGCGTGCAAAACACTCAGTTTGCTGAAGAAAGCCGTAGTGCCGAAACGTTCTAATAAAGAGTGGAAATACTAGTTGCAAGTTGTGTGCCTTTTTTTTCAATTTATTCAAAATTTAAAAAAAACTCATATATATATATAAAAACGAGTATTAATTATAATGAATTCGACCACACATCCGTTTTTAACCGCCAGCGACTCAAAATGAAATCATGCAATATCTCTATTTTAATTAATTAATATAAAGAGCAAGTTTCTGTTCAAGTTATTATGTTTTCTATCAGTCAAACATCATACATACAGGTTACAAAACTTCGCCARCCATGGCGGGCTATCGATATATAACCAATTAAATYTTTAGAAAGACAACTCACCGTAGATGGATCGAGATCAAAGAAGTTTTGCCCATTGCCATCGGTTATTGTATACCGTATCATYGCGTTGATCCCGTCGTCTTTATCAGTGGCGTTTAGATTRATAATAGTAGAATTAAGKGTACYRGGTCCTTCTGGAATTGTGATGATGTAGCTATTTGGATCCTCGGTTGGACTGGGAACGAACTGTGGCACGTTGTCATTGACATCAATGATWGTTACATRGACAGTTGTTGTATTCTGTCAAAGAAAAACATAATAATGGGAAAGGCATCAATGTAGTTCMTGTGCAATCGATCCCAACCCTCTCCCCCGTGTTGAAATTTTGCGTTCAATTTTTCTCAAAGGGGATGAGAGGGGAGAGGGATACACACGGACTATAATTAAGGCAGCAACATGTGTACATATCAAAGAATTGTATGTCATTTGTGCGGGATTTTTTTAGCGAATCCATGCCATATATGGAAACAAAAAAATGGCCGATTGTTCAGAAGTGTTCTCGCTATAATATCTGCAAGTTTCAGACCATTTCAAGCATTAAAAGTGAGAAAATTGCCAAAAATCAATCCACACGTACTTCCAAATAAGGTAAGATTATTAAATATGGTTGACAAACGAAAGACAACTTTTCTAGGGGACCTAGTTGTCTTACCGGAAATCCGCATATAAAAGTCCGCAAATAAAATAAAAAGACGTAAATAAAATGTCTTCACAATTGTATATCGCCACAAAAATGAAAGCAATACCGAAATCGACAATAATGATAAGAATAATGTTTATTCGCCTCTTTTTTGATTTGTTTTATGATAATTACAATGTATAACATATGGCAGGATAGTCTCAGCAAGTCTTTAGATACTTTTCTAGGAAAACCAGCAAAAGAGTCAAACCACCATCGACATCCTATAATATTACTCCCTGTCTATATTGGTATGAATGTTCACACTGAGAATATCTACTTACATATCTTGGGGGGTTTCCATTGTCTGTAACATTGATTACCAGATCGTACTTCGGTTTATCTTCACGATCAAGTCCGCTGGGTGAAATGGTGATACGTCCAGTTTCAGGGTTGATATTAAAGCGTTTAAAGTTGTTTCCAGACGATATTCTGTAAAGTAACTGCTTGTTCTTCCCTTCGTCTTTGTCTATAACCGCGATGCTTGATAGTAATTCAGTGCCACCACCTGCATCCTAAATATCGGGTAAACGTTTATTGTGTTATATCTATGTTGTACCTATGAATATACCTAATTGGCTAATGCGCTGCTGTAAACGTTTCCACCGAATTCAARCCACCAGGGAGTAAGTTTCATTGTTCATTGTATTTTCATTTCACATTTGAATTCTTAGAAAAAAAGTTCTTTTTCCCATAGAATTTGAATTGGGTGGTAACGTACATGGCAACGCGTTAGCCGATTAGGCCTATATATGGTAAAAAATTTTCAAATCATGTCAAAGCCGGCTTGTCAGACCACAAGTAAGTATTTCCTTAACAACCCTTGAGTGTCTTGTCAAGTCCAGGCCCTGTACTGACAAGGGCATTGCCTTATTAGGAAATAGCTATATGCGCTAACTGAATTGAATGCCTCACCTCGCTGATATTACGGTAGATATCTKGTCCAGGTAAAATGACTGGCGAGTTATCGTTCTCATCCAGTACAGTCACTGTAACCATAACTGATGTGCTTCTGTTTGGCGAGCCATGGTCGGAAGCCAGGACCTGCAAAAATAAATAGAAAAAAAACATGTTGACGATGATAATAATAACGAAGATGGTGATGGTGATGATATAAATTAGAGATATACCCCCAATGGTGATGATAGATAATAATTAGATAAATTAATATAAAAAAAATGCTAATACCAAATGAGACCTCTGGATGGAGCACGAGTATTATGGGATAGACTATCAATTCATATTCCTCGAGACCGAGTGGTGTATTTAATCAGTAAATAATAGGCCAATGTGCAGCGACGCGATTTTGTTGAGCAAAACATGATGTGATTATCAAATTATTAAGTAGTCATCGCTCATTATAGACCCTTGAATTTCTCCCTAAAACTAGAAATGTTGTTATGTTTGCTTTGTAAAAWAAGATGCAACTAATTCTATTTTGCCTTAGAAAAATCAAAAGCAGTTTAGGAGGACTGTCGAAGCGGTCATGGAAAAGTACGAGGACTACAACTACCATCATGCTTTGCTGCACAAAATTGCGTTGTATTGTTACATTGCCTATTTATTAAGTATCTTCGGGATTTTCTCGATGCGTCTGTGGTCTAACATGAATATACCAGAATTTGGTAGCCAATTGAAATGCTGGATTTGTTTGGTGGATTATGTAATRATATGTAAATCGTGAGCATGCGCGTGAGTCGATATATGCCTCGTGGCATTCGCACCATTGTATATCAGTGTTTGTAATAAAGGTGTACAAGGAAATCACTCGAGACTATTACAGATTATATAATAAATATTTTAAGCGCATGCGCACCTGATAACGTGGATTAATAAACCTACCGTTAGCTGATAAGATGATATAGTCTCTCTGTCTAGAGATATCGTAGTTGAGATATGTCCAGTGCCATTAATTTCAAAAGCACTTCCATTATTACCATCAGAAATAGARTATGAAATCTGCAAGGGAAAATAAAGGTTATGAAAATATTAATSTTAGATTCTAGCTCGAAAGAGAGTAAGGTTTGCCGTTTAATCACTTATTCTATTTTTGCACTTACATATTTTCTGTTAGAACAGTGTGCATGTCCTCTTATTGACACTCTACCTCTTATCATCCAATCAGCGCGCGAAAATTGTAGTTTTTTGTTTGTTTGTTTGTGTTTKTGTTTGTTTGGCATCAATCAGCCTGATCAACAACCAATGAAAGCAGCTACAAACTTTTGCAAATTCATATGAAACACCGTCTATTATTGTGTTACTACGACCTCCCCTCCGTCTTTTTGCAATCTTGTTCGCCGTCAACGAATTTCTACAAAACCGACAAGAATGAGGAAAGGAACGCGGGGGTAGGATGTTCCGTTTATTTTGCATAATGTTCTAGCATTCTATGACGTAATACTCACTCGCCCAAACTCTCCGCTGTCTTTGTCCGTAGCGGYCACGTCCAACAGAGGCGTACCAGCGGGGAGGTTTTCCGATATCGAGGCTGAGTATGAGTTCTTGCTGAAGACTGGGGAATTATCATTGATATCAACCAATAAGAGGTTAATAGACGTGGAGGCTTCCTTGTAATCAAATCCTCCCCCACCGTCCCTTCCAAACAAYCGAAACTGRTAAGATTTCTTGTTTTCATAGTCGAGTTTCTTTGCTGCTGTGATGTTACCAGTCGATGAGTCAACAGTAAAACTAAAGGAAAAGTAAGTGATTAAAATGAATAAAACCAAACAATAAAAAATAATGATAGTAATTAGTCAATGTGAAATTGTGAAAATAATTGATGTGCTTGCATTCAGATAAAGATTCACTTGACTCACTTGAGGTTGACGCTAAGATACAAAGATTTATATTTTGCTTGCCCATCACTTACTATTCGGCAGAATCACCCTTCAATTCGTAATTCACTACACCGAAAGTACCAAGGTCACCATCTGTCGCCTGGAAGAAATTATAAGACTGAGCGTTAGATTATTGACAAGCATTGATTATTTGACAGCAAGAAACGAAACATTCTATTCTCGGGAAAGATRCATGTGTACCCTCTGTTCCCCCTTGATTACGAGGCTGTCATTGTCGTCTTACTTCTCGTAAGGTTGTAGTTAACTAGCTCTCGAGAWTAAGGATCGGACTGTGAAGCGATATATTGTCAATGGAACTGTGAACAATGAAATTGTACTTGGAAAAAATGGGATAGTATGGATACATACCTTTATGACTGCGATTGAAGATCCAGGAAGAATTTCCTCATTGAACGTAAAATTATAAGAATTTTGTTGGAATTTTGGTTCATTGTCATTAACATTAATTAAGTAAACGTCGACTGTAGCRTTGTCGCTGAATTTCTCTACCGTTGATGTCTCTGTGGCAACAATCTGACAGAAAACAGCAAACAAAGCGTTAGTTTTGCTTTGAACATAAGTTTTTACAACGGTTCGCGCCATTAGAAGAATGGAATTTCCCACAGTCAAAAATACTGGCACCTCTCTATATCTCTTAATTTTTCCACAGTTTTTACAGTAAATCCTGGAGCCGATGATACAAAGTGTCGATAAAGTTGTCAAGCTATACACTCTATTGATTTTATATGGGATTTTATCCGCTGAATAAGGATTTATCCTCTAGATAGCGCTGCAACCTCAATACGCAATGTTCTGCGACGCCATTTTGTACAGCAAGGCATGATGGTAGTTGTAGTCCTCGTACTTTTCCGTGTTCGCTAAAAAAAATCCTTATGAAATATTTCTGCTTTTTCTAAGCCAAAGTAGATGTTGTTTTGCCGTTTCTTCAAGAAAAGCGTAAAAAAGGCTTCTATAAGGGAGATATTTTAGGGTCTATAATAAGTGCAAGGACTACAACTACCATCATGCTTTGCTGCACAAAATGGCGTCGCTGCACATTGTCCTATTAGGAACAGCTAGCAACAAACATCATTGCTAAAATAAATAATGAAAACATTTTTTATGCATATTACTACTTCTCTCATAATCTCCGCACAATCTCTACAACTCCTTCGACTTCTCTCCTGAACAGACACAGGAAAACCCAACAGAAATGATAGCAATCGTCAAATAACTTACCGTGAATGTAAAGTTAGACTTGGATTCGTAATCCAATGTACTGTTAAATTTCAGAACACCACTGCTTCGATCAATGCTGAATTTACTGCTATCGGCACCAACTAGCTCGAATTGGTACGAACGGTGCTCGAGCTGAAAGAGCAAAAGATTGATTAGCTGCATTGACAAATGCATATAAATTGAAAACAATCGTTCAATCAATCGAATATAAATAGAGTGTCGATGCAATATCTCAGAAGCGAAAGGGAGAGTTGTTTTAGAGTTAAATCGCAAGTGTTTGTTAAAATATATATACCCGTTTCAAAACGGKTGTCGGATGAAATCACTGGATAAGTTGATCAATTTACAGAGTCCTTTTCATGCAAACTTTGTAAATTGATTTTACAAGATATTTACAACATTTGATCGAGAATATTTACAGAATGTATATAAAATTAAAAAAACTTTGTAAAAGGATTGTCTGAAAATTGAATTTACAGTATATTTACATACTATTTACAAACTTTTTGTGCTAATCAACTTTTCCAGTGAATAGAGAAGAGCAATTGCCAAACAGAGATTGCACGACMGAAASATAGAWAGGAAACCAATGAGTATCGATGAGGTAAATCAGTAGTTTTTGAGGAGCCCTTTTCGCCTTCTTTACTGGAAACTTAAACAGCTTGTTCGAGTGACATTCTTTCGGGCGGGAAAATCTATTGTCGCTCGAGAGTAAAGAGAGAGAAAGACATGGAGCAAGCCCACCAATCTCATCACACAACATTTTTGCACTTGACTTTGCCGTGTAACCTCTTTATATACTAATTGACATTTTGAAGACAATTCACTCGATGAAAGAACAAAATCCATACCAGTATGTCTTTGTCTGTAACTGTGATCTCATTAGTAATAGTTCGCCCAGGAACTGCCTGGTTCTCGGGTATCTCAAATTGGTAAGTGTGCTTATTAAGAACAGGAGGGTTGTCATTCTGATCGATAACTTCTACCAGAACTTGGGCTGTTGTATTAGAGCTTGGATCAGGAACCTCAAAGGCCTATTGAAATGATGCAATAATATTATTTTCATGCATTTACGCACAAAATGAAGTTGATACATATTGCCTATTCAAATATGATCTACATTTACCYGAACAAAAATTGTAWAGCTTCTGGTTTTCTCGGCGTCAAGGCTTCCATTAACAGTGATGAGACCAGTGGTTGGATTGATTGTAAAAGATCCATCGGTATTACCTGGAGAATAGATCATATTAATATGTGTCATGCGCAGTTTGCACCTAATCTGATTTGTAAAAACAAAGCTTATGTAAATGATTAACAAGGTTAATTAATCCAGATTAGAAGAGGGATCCAGTTACATAATACTCGAGAGTGACTTCGATTTGTGGGTTTCATTTGTTAGGATGAGAAGACGGGCTCCTGGGATATATATATCTAGTCTTATGTCCCATACAGCTTAGTCACAACTGGTTGCAAGCGAGAATCTTTGCCGAAAAAAGAACTCTCCAGGCATGAAATACTTTCTAAGAGTTTTTGTCAGGAAAAAAAGAAATTTCTAACTTAAATAAATAAATGTGATAAAATTCGACCTACCTTGAGTTATTTCGTAACGTATTGCGTTGTTTACTCCTCTATCACCATCTCTGGCAGCAACTTTCACTAATGAAGTGCCCTGAATGAAAAAAAATGACAAGTCAAATAATATGCATATATGTTTAATAATTGAAATGTTTTTCCTTGAAAGTAGAATTCTTCGATTCAACGTCCATCAACTTTCACGACTCCTTTCTATAGCGTAGAAGAAAGCGCAAAAACGCGCTGTATAAAGAGCTTTATAAAAGGCTATATAGGACATAAAATGAGGAAGATTTTGCTGTTGAGATATTGTGACAAGAAATCATTCAGAATATAATGGGATGTATTATATCTGCTTAAGCTACAAAGGTCAAGTAGGTTTATTCAAAATATCATGTCTGTTTATTGTGTTGTACTTTATTGTGGTGCTCTGGTTGCAGTGATCGTGGGCGTTACTGTCATACATAAGAGCCGAACCAAACTGTTGTTATGTGAGTTTTGGTTCGGTTGGACACAGGTTGCTGTGGCTGTTTTATCCTTGTCATACTTTCTACTTTTCCTTTGTACTCGTTCTTATATAGAATTACAAACAACCGCTGTACCATGCGAGCCGAAGCGGCATTTTTGGGTGGAGACGAAAATGGTGGATTTGTACGATTTCTTAAAGTGAGCGCGAATCGYCTTCCATCCTCTCAGTTAGACGGAAATACCTTTAACTAAGTACCTCACAGGTGCTATCAATCTATAATCTATTGTTTGCTTGAYGCATTTAAACGTATGTGAATAATAAAACGAGCGAGCCTTGTGGTTGGTTGGGATTCTTTTATCTTTGCGATATAACTGTCCTACCTTTGGTGTGTTTTCTGTGATTCTTTCAATGTATACCAATTTGTCGAACACTGGTGGCATGTCACTTATATCCACAACATCAATTACAACAGTDGCTTCTGTGCTTTGTTGAGGAACACCCGTATCCTATTGAGTATAACAAGAAAAATATATGTTACTGTGAAAACATATTGAAAAAAATATACAATGTGTAGATCTTGGGAATTCTGATATTAGACATATCATAACATAGCTGCTRTATAACGTTTTAATTGGCCAACATTTTCCTATATGAACTATCTATGTATTAATGTTTTGTTCAGTTCGTAAAAAGCAAAATGAATTGACGACTTTCAAAAATGGSGCGATATGTCATGGTCGCCGACCAGGGGACTGGTGACGAAGCACTAAAACGAGGTCTCAAGGGACAAAAAAAATAGTAAACTTCCATGGTGYCTTGCAAGAGTGTTTTGTCATAAATCAACATAGCAATACATCTTTCAAACTTTCGGACTCTGCCTACATGTGATCTTCATAATGGTTTTCATAAGATGGAAGGCCTTTGAGGTTTCGTTTCAAGGATTAATCTCTAGTCCTCCGATATCGACGGTCGTGACCTACCACCGGCCATTTTTGAAAATTCAGTTGCTAATACCATCTATCCCACAGTGCATCGCTTCGAGATTCAGATGACGTAAAGTGGTGTTACATTTTCTGAGTCAGTTACACAATTTAATCAAATAACTGCATGAGGGGCGTAGTGCTTGATAACCTCTTCTGTCGACATTACCTACCTCTGCAACAACAGTGAGTACATATGATGATGCTGTCTCATAGTCTAAAGCTCCTGTTAATGTTATTTTCCCATTTAAGTTGTGAATGGTGAATTTATCAGTCTGTTGAAGAGAAATACATGTACATAAGCTGACTATTGTTGTTCATTAAATAGATGATTTCTAACGCGCGCTCTGATTGGCCAAAAAAGTGTGGTTTATGAGAGTATAAACCACGGCTGAGCCTTATTCATTTGTTAAATATGGACAGGTTTGAAAAAAGATAAATTATTGTTGTATATATGTAAAATTTAAGGTGACTTTAAAACCGTCTTCGCGGAGTCCGTTCATCCATATACAATATGTCCATTCATACATTATAAAGGGATAATAAATAGTAAAAAAAGCTCGTAAGGCCGGGATGTCGGTTGACCGTAGACCTTTGGTAATACAAACAAAGATCCACAAGCTTAGTACATAGAGTGCGATTATAAAAGTGTATCCACGGGAACCCAGGAATAATCGTTCGTTCCTCACTCCTAGAAAAAATACCCTTGGGCGCGAAGTCTGTTAGACCTTGTTCTCTGATTCGAAATTCAAAACGACGGCTGGTAAATTAATCAACCAATCAGAATGTTCGAGTGAATCACTCGGCCGATCAGAAATTTACCAGCCGCCATTTTGAATTTCGAATCGAAAACAAGTTCTAACAGAGTTCGTTCCCATGGGATTTTTTTCCGGGAGTGAGGAACGAACGACAGACGATTACCCCTGAGTACCCCTGAGGGTGATAAGAGTGCTAACCTTCCATAATGTGATAAGCTTAATATCCTGTTGGTGCAAGCAAATGAAATTAAAAACGTCATTTTTACAGCCATTTTCAGAAAGAGGACAGTAAAACATGGAATTAGTGAGTTGTTGGGCAAGTGATTGRCGGTGTTTGGATATAGGGCATATCATTGGACCAAAACAAATATGGTGCCAACTTGCAGTGAGTGACCAGACCCTTTTTTTACTAGAAAACGCTACACAACATTCCTGTCCAGAATGGTTGAGAATAAAAATAGAAGGTATATGGAGGCTTTGTAACCTTCTGTGATTTTTAAACCGTTTAAACTTGCGATTTTTGCAGCGCGCGACCGTCTATCACGCAGCAAAAAATCGTATGTGTAAACAGCCCTGAGAGGTTGCAGCTAAATTTCAAGCATGTTCGAAACTCAGGCGATGGTCACGCGACAATAATCGCTCTTCAAAAATCGCAAGTGAAAACGGGCTTTAAAACATTCTCAACTACTTTTTTTTGTCCAGGATTGCAGAATTATTTTATTTTTCGTTAAATAAAGATACCTACCGAGCGTGAGTCGTTGCTGAATCTATATTGTACAGCAGCATTAGCGGCTTCATCAGCATCAGTGGCAGACACGGTTAATAATAGAGAATTTAACGTGGTGTTCTGTTGATAAGAATAGCGCCGAATTTATACATTTGTATATTATTTAAAAATTATACTCGTATTTTTTTAACTGAGAAAGCTTCCACACAAAATCATTCGATGGAATAGCTCTCCTTTCATATTATGATTCAATGGTCTTGCACAAGCTATAGAAATGAAGATGAGGCTATAAATTAGGAAGCAAAACTTATCATCTAATCATATTGCGAAAAATTGCAGTCAGTTTCACGGTTTTTCTGTCAATATCCCCTTTTGTAAAAAATGGTCGAGGGAGCAGAAAGAGACACTACGCAAGGCAGTCACTACGGTCTTATGGACAATGGTATTGACTATTCTTAAAATACCAGTATAGGTGGGAAAAGCCCCAAATCAATTCGTAAATTGATTGTTTATTTTAGTTTTTTTATCCTAGGAACAAGGCTATACTGGAATTTTAGGAATAGTCATCTCGAGAGCACCAAACTTACCTCTGGCACGGAAACCCTATAAGGTTGTGTTATAAAGACTGGTTTGTTGTCATTGACATCGATTACAGTGACAAAAAAAGTTTTCTCTCCCTGAAGAATTAAAGAAGAATATGAATTATAGGTTATACACATTAACTATTTTAATAGTTMTTAAAAGATGAAAATAAATATGACTTACCCGTCTTGTTTCATCATTTTGTTTGTCGCTTACAAAAGCCTTGAACTCATAATTTGACGTTAGCTGCAAAAAAATAAAATAAAAAAAACATAAAAACTTAACAAAAATCATCGATATTCTCATGATCAGACACGACCTATCAATCCGATTATTATAGAATGCAGCACAGGATGAAGTTGCAAAGGCCCTAAAAAACTAATGGACATAACTGTTGGCTGTTGGCTGATCAGAGGACTTGAGAAATAATTGCTTGACCTTCTYTCTTCATTTGTGCAATCCTTTCTGTTCATTTATATATAGGACATCATATGAAAATGTTCTCCCTTATTTTCGGGGGCTCTTCAAGTCCGTCAGTTATTTCTAACAAAGACGTTGGCTCTAAAAAAACTGCCAAGGCTGTTTTTCTGAAGATTTCTGAAGGAAAAAGTATTGTGTGACAGCCCTCTACCTTTTATCCACCTTCTTTAGTTCTTCATCATTTATTATGGATCTTTAGAGCACTTAATGATCGATTTAATGTCGATATAAATTAATACATACCTCTCTGTTTAGTTTAGTTTTCAGAGTTAGATTTACCGACTTTTGGTCGGCATTCAAAGACCCAACGTTGAATAAACTTTGACCCGTTGAGTCTAAACTGAAGTACATGGGATCGTTCTCGTTGTCGCTTGCACTTAAAACGAACACCACCGAACCTGAAATAAATGATACCAGTCTATCAACGGACTCATTTTATCGTCATGTTCAAAGGGGTTGTAAGGAATAATGAAACGCTCACCGCTAAAAAAGGCCAAAAGAAGTGACTAAAATCTGTTGCAAAATTTTGTGAAACACCGTCGCTGATTGTGTTACTACAACCCCCGGGGGGACTCCCTAATATCAAAGGGCGGGGGTCCTCGGCGTCCCTTTTAGGGTTTGAAATCGGTATTTTTGTCCCGCTTAGGGTTATAATGACGAGAATTTCCCCCAACTGAGTTTTGTGGTCCCTTTTAGGGTATATGACGTCCCTAAGCCGTCATATTTCCTATGAAAGGTATGTGCTGCATTCAACTAAAACAAAATGACCTGTTATTGATTGGTCCCTTTTAGGGGTGAAATTTCAGCACTGCCACGCCCATCATCTCCAAACACAGGTCCCACTTAGGGGTCATTTTCATAATTTCCGCCGAGGAACCCCGCCCTTTGATATTAGGGAGTCCCCCCCCCCGGGCTACAACCTCACCTCCCCTTTTACAATGTTGTTCGTTAATGAATTGCTGCAAAATCGCCAAGGATGAGGAAAGGACCGTTGTGCAACCTTGCAGTTGGGACTAAAATGGGGCAGGGTGTTCCGTTTGTTTTGCATAATATTGTTGGCTTGTGTCTTGCCTGTCAATAATTGTATGGGACATTTTATTTTAGTGGTTTTCGATTTTTTCATCTGAATCTTCAGGGCCAGATTTAAAGAATCTGTAATTTTCTAGGCTTATTTTATGTTCAGGGATAACGGAGCTGAGGTGCCCTTAAATCTCAGAGAGCATTCCCGATGAACTTACCAACTTTAACGTCTTCTTTTATTGTTATAACTCCACTGCTCGTTGTAAAATGAGGCTTGAAATTGTTCGCTGAAATAGAAGAAAGCGCATCAATAAAAACTGAAGGAAATATACGATGAACGGCTGACAAACAACGAAAGAATGTTTATTACTTAGTTCGAAAAACATTTTCCTGATATTTAGGAATTGCCGAGTAACTGAGTAACTGAATTTGATGCTAATGGCTTTGTTGTTGTCTTTATGTCTTTGCTATTGAATGGATATAAATACTTTGCATTATAGAGGTTAATACAGAAAAATGAATGGAAAGGAAATACATTGAAAGACAAGTGAAGATGAGAGCTAGTGAAAAAATACTTTCGTTCTGTTTTTATTTCAAGTGAAGATGTACACTGAAGCTGAACACTTTCTTTATTAGTATCTTTTAATTATTTAAAACTAATTCATAAATAGTCAAATATCCTCACACCAAAAATAAATTGAAAATTCCACCATTTGGCTTGAAGACCTTGAAGATGTAAAACGTAACGCATCGGCATTTCCAAGCCATGACGTCATATTGTCAAATCAAAAATGCCGAACGTTGATGTCAACATACGTTCACGGATAGATGACTTTTATACTAAGCCCTTAGGCACTTTTAAAAAAGTATCAAATATTTTGATTCCAAACATTTCTATAGAAATAAAACCATGATTACATGTGGATTAGAACTTTGCCATTAAAGTTTCTTACAGCGTGTAGAGGTACCGTTTAAATTCGTCGTAGGTAATTGTTATTCGTGAGATCAAGTGTTCTAGAATCGCGTAATCAATCATTCAAGTAGTGAAGCCCGATTTACACTGACGGTTTTTGAAGTGCGATTGTTTATTGACTATCAATCGTCATCTCTATCGCAGAATTCTGAAGGTTACTTGTGAGAACTATTTCCTTGATCAGTTGCCCTAATATATGTGATAGCTGAACTTATGTCACAGCATGTTTTCAATGGGAAGATATACCAAAAACAGTGGAGATAGCATTCGATTTGAGATATATATCATGCCTCAATTGTTGCTTGTGTTGTGTAGTTTTCTTTAATGTGTTGTGATTCTGTCTTCCTCTGTCGGACCCTCGTCCTTGGCCTCGTTAAAGCAATATGAAAGTTTTGCTTTGACCTAATAATGCMATAGGGCAATTCCAGTAATAGATGTTAGCCAAATTGAGGAAGTTAAAACTCGGCTTTTTTTTCGATGACGAATGGTAAAAAAATGTTTATAAATCTTATCAGACCTTATCAAATTGAACTATTGAGATAAGGTGTTCCCACAGTAACCATCATGACTATTGCAAACAGGACGAAAACAATTAAACAATCAAGCACACCAAAGCAGATAATTGAAGGGAAGTTTATTAAAACATAAGAAAATGTAAGAAAATAAAAGTTTAATTATTTGGATGACTGCACCATCAGATCTGTCTGCGGCTTGTTCAGTGCACAGTAGGGGGTGCTTCATCACACT